GGATTCATGGTGAATACTTTCAACTAAGAAGGCGGTCGTTCCGTCGTCAGTTGCTTTTATGCCATAACAAGACATGCTGTGACACGCGTGGACAGACCTTTGTCATGACGCTGAATGAGTAATTGACGAGGCCGCCAAAAAAAAAAAAAGAAATAGCAGATCCTGGAGGCAGCGATATACTGAACTGCACCCAAGCGGCGAGTGACCGACCAACCCAACGTAAGAAAACTACAAGTTGCGATAGATTATTCATACATGGGCTTAGTTTACTTAGCTTGCACTTCCAATAAAGTACATTTTGTTGCGGAGAGTGTGTCTAGATATTGTATTGTCATACTGCGCAGTCATTCTGAGAAGCGAGTCCACTACCAGCTCATCTAAGAAGGTAGCTTACGCGTGTTAATAATATATACCCTCGTGATCTGTAATAGTTTTCTGTCTTGTACGCCAGAGGCTGTAGAGACTTTTCACGGCGTTATTTTTGTTAACCGGGCCTTATCAAGTGTAAAACCTGCGGGACGGCTTTATGCTCTCCCATACCTAGTACCTTGCACTCTAAATAGTTACCCACTTTGAGAGGCTTGCTTGCTTGCTTGTTCGCTTGCTTGCTTGATCCTTTCTTTGTGGCTCTCACCCACTAAGGGGGATCGGCCAAGAAGCCGGTGGTTAATGCAAATCAATACCTTTAGGTTATCCAGGCTATAGGAAAATAGGATTACTTCGTTTTGACTGGGAAATTAATTTGGCGCAATGTGAAAAAAAGGTAAAGAAGAGAAATACTAGAATTTATTCAATATCTGAGGTGTAACTGTTATATGAAATTCTTCTGAAGGTTAAATCATTAGAGTGTAATAGCTAAATAATAAATGTTAGTTTGGCTAGTAAAAATCGAGAGCTGATCAATGGCTCAGCAAGGTAATCTTCTTGTGTTACATAGGAATTTGCAGAGAGCCCCGCAGATGTTCCTCTAGGGGAGTCCTCATGAAGCGGCCCCAAAAGACAAAATATTAGAAGTAGTAAGTGATGTTCCTAGTTTTTTTAATGGAATTTTGAAACAATTCTTTTTCTATTTTTTGCAACGGTGATTTTTGAAAAGAAAATGGTTGATACGTTCGAGTTCATCACAGCTTGAGCACAGAGATTTGGCACCTTACCAGACCTGTTTAAGTAAAAATTAAGAAGTGGTGCACGGCAACGTAATTTTGTTATAGAGACTTTAGATTTACGCGTGGGACACTATTTATTATTCCATGTGAAGTGCAGGTGCGCGAAATCTGGATTCGGTATTCTAATATTTGATGAGTCTTCAAGAAGGGAAAGTTGTTTTCTGAACCTCGCTGCTGTTACATAAGCTGTAAAAGGCATGACTGGCACAATCGGAAGATCAAGGGATGCTCGCGCGAGTGTGTCAGCTTTCTCATTTTTAAATATACTACGATGGCCTCCTAAAGGGGTGGGTCTGCCCATTCCTCGTATGTATGTACCAACTGCCTACTACTTCGTCCTTGCAAACATCTTACTACGCCCCATCGCCAATCTACCACTTCACAGACCAAAAAGCGAATGCTCTTGAGAAGTAGCCAATATTGAATGCAAGATGGTCGCGTACTTGTATCCAGGAGCGGGTTAAAGAACCATAGATTGTTGCACAATGTCCATTCCTTGTTTATTAGTGACCACCAATAGTTGCACCTTTGCAAACTGCCCACTACTTCGTCCTTGCACTAAACTTCGTCCTTGCACTAAACTGCCCACTACTTCGTCTTTGCAAACTGCCCACTACTTCGTCCTTGCACTACTTCGTCCTTGCACCCACTACGCTCCATCACCGATCCACCACTTCACCGACTATACAGCCATTATGATGAAGGGGAACGGAAGCGACGTACAGCTACCACTTACGAATGATAAAATTTCTTGTATAAATATATACTGTGCTTGTCACGTTTTTGATGTAGTGGGCGATATTCGCAGATGGTTCACAGTTTAACGATAAAACCCTCCAGCACTTCGCCCCACTCATCATCATTCACTCCATGGATATGCTTTCATTTTTCTTCTAAACGCACTGTTGCGTGAAGACAATATCTGGTCTTCTGTGTAGCATCTGGGACGGCCATTAACTCTCCCATAGTATAGGAAGAAGTACTCTTAAACGTTAAACACTTTTTATAAACACATACCGTCACCGCTGTTGCTTTTGCTTTTTCTGAGGATGCGTTCCATAATAAAGTACCAAATACTCTCAATCGTTATACACGTTTTCTAAACACACGTTCAATTCGCATGTCATGTCTCAATAGCTGGTCATAATCATCATCATCAGCATCTCATCATCATCATCATCCTGACTATGCCCGCTGCAGGGCAAAGGCTTCTCCCATGATACGCCAATCAACCCGGTCTTGTGCTTTCAGTTACTACGTTCTATCTGCAAACAATTTAATCTCATTGGCCCACCTGACTTTCTGTCTGACCATCATGCGTTTTCCTTTTTTGGGATGCAGTTAGTTGCCCTTAATGACCAGCGGTTAACCTGTCTACGTGCTACGTGCCCGGCCCATATCCATTTCTTGTTCTCGATTGAAACTATAAACCCACTCTGCTCTCTTTTTGTCTCTTAAAGTTACACCTATCATCTTCATTTTCATCACTCGCTGCGTTGTCCTCACTTTAAGTTGAATCCTGTTTGTAGGCCTCCAGGTTTCTGCTCTGTAGGTAACTACTGGCAAGATAAACTGTTATATACCTTCCTTTTGAGCTGGTAGTATGTTTAATCGGGACATGCTATGAGCTTCTCATAGTGTAATGCGTATAATGCTCTAAAGCGTTCACAATTTATTCTAAACATCGGCATCCAAATTATCACTATCATTGTCAACCTATTTTATGCCTGAAGCATGACCTCCAGTTTGCCGTATTTTGTGCGAATTGATCCCAGTATATATGCCTACAAACCTCTTTTGTAAATTCATCTAACTCGGTGGCCTCAATGCTTGTTTCCCTTCTATTGGAATCGATGGTGTTGCATTAGCTGACCCCCCGCTCTCTTTTCCCTCTTGCGCATTAGGTGACCTGCCCCGAGTGATCTAATTTGCTTAATATCGACCACAATATGGGCTCCACTGTTTGCTCTCCGAAATATGCTGCAGTATTCCAATTAAGAAACTACGCACCTATTATTTGTTTGTTCTAGTGTACGCTGCATAGTTCTTGACTTGTCCTCTAGTCTTTATTATTCTTGAAAACTTGAAATGACTCCTCATCACCTGAAAGAGTCTTGACAATTCCTTCACAATTTCCGGCAACACATCTACATAGACTCACGAGTGCCAGTCCGAGCCTTTGCGTGTGGATTGGTATAGGCTGAAATAATTAGCATCTTACGCTCTGATCAAAACGACAGTTATGCATTCTTCTCCGGCAATCGGGGCATCACTTTTTTGATCACATCGGTAGTTATTGAACTTCAATTACTTGTTCGACTGTGATTTCACTCGAGGATGAATTACTTATTAGTAGAAGGCTTTCGTAAATTTGGTCACTACATTGAAATTTCTTATACCACACAGCTTATTTTATAGTACACACCTCTGGATGCAATAAACGCATACCTTTAACCTCTTGTGATGCTGCTTTCCTTTTCTTTTGTGGCCTCAATCTCTTTTACGTGTAGTTAGTTATGCCACAGCCATTTTTTGTTGATCAAGATTGTTCACGCAGTAAATTCCAATAAATTGCGAGTTGATCACATTTATGTATTGCCGTTTCTTTAAGTCTATTTAGTTTGTGGAGTTTGCTTGGTTATTGCTTTGGTGTTTTACCTCCAACTTTATTAGTTGTTTCGGAGGCCTGTCTAGTTGGGGTTTCATCCGGTCCCCTTATGAAGTTTTCTTTTTCAACGATGCCGTATTTCTTGTGACCAAAGATGGTAAAATCATTAGTTTTTCTCGAATATAGACTGCTTTAGCGTTTAACTTTACTCTTGATCTCCTTCCTTTCATTACCTTTTGATCTCTACAGAAGTCGTAGTAATGTATTCCTCTGTCATGGTACAAATTCTTTCGGTACATATCCTCTTGGTCATGGTACGAACCCTTGCAAATCCTTTAGGGGCTGGGACGTGAACGCAGCTCAGGAGTGCCGAACATTTCGGCAACATGTCGATGAAAGGTAAAAGTGCGCTCGCTATATTAGATGGCGAACCTAGTAGAGTTCTGCCTGATAGATTCGCGCTCTCATAGGATAATTAACCAAGTGGTAGAAAATAAAAATATGCGGGGTAGGACCATAATGTTGAAGGTCTGCGAGACAAACATGGACCTGTTGTTTTCAAGGTATGTTCGTTAAAATGGAAAGTTGGGCAAGTTGGAACAATTCTTGATATGAACGTATTTTCAGCACCAGGCAAACTCCTATTCCACCTCCTTTGGTAATAATTATTAATTTATTTTATTTTACTTCTTAAGCTTCCTTACAATGCGGTTATCATTGTGTCCCGAGTTATTTACGTGCGATTAGCATGTGAGTGTTTATTTCGCTTTCCTTATGTATCCCACATCTCGTCCCATACTACACGCTTCTTCATGACAATTCCAAAGTTAAATCCTGATGCGCGAAAGGTGGCCAACTAAATAGGCCTTCGACACTTCATTTTGACATCACTATTTCGCATCCACAATACTGAATATAAAACTGTTTATTTGTTAGGCCCTGCCTAGTTTCGAGAAGGCTGAGATGATAGGTGAGCCCCAACAACACAAAATAACATTCAGCTCCCCTCTGCTTTTATACTAAACAAAACACTCACCCATGCTAGTGTATATACAGAGAATAATACAAAACTAGTTGAAAAAACTGTGGCAGAACGAAACTACTTAATGCTTCATATATATTTTAAATGCAGGCTAGGAAGTGCAAACGGCTGGCACAATAATTGTTGCTTATTCACAGTGAACCATTTATTATATATGATGTAATGACAAGGCCGTGGTTCTCACCTGACAGGCGTCCTGACCACCTTCCCGTGTGCCGGCACACAGGAAGATTTTGGGGATTTGCTGCGTAAACTTGGTCTTGCACTCTGTGTTGTCCCATACCGGTAGTGATACCTGACGCAGAATGGAGCTGGATGGGCCGCCTGCAGTAGAGGTACAAATAACAGTTAAAGAGAAAAGCCAACTGTTAGTTTAGTTTGTGTTTCGCTTCTGCACCTGATTACATCAGCATCGTCTGCGTGATGACGTAGATCCAAGCACGGTCCTCTAATACTTTTTGTGTGGTCATGAAACTCGCGCGTCACTCAATGGGAGAGCTTCATACGCCGCCCGCAACGCGACGTGGCGCTGGCGTAGATAGAGGGCCTAAATCCTGGTTGATTTTAATGTGTGCGTAGGAGGTGGATAATTAGAACGTGGACTTAGAAGCCGAGGTCATTGGGAGAGTACATGGCAATGGATATAAAAAAAAAAGCCGCGTATATCAAAACTTGGCGCCGTTATCAAATCTGCATGCCTAAAATCAAAATCTTTCGTTTCGAAATAGCAATACTCTTTAAAATCAAGGGCTCAAATTAGGAAAACAAATAAAAAAAGAAGAGAACACAACTTGAGCATCTCTCTCCGTCTTTTGGTGTCTTATTCTGAGCTTTAAATTTTTTGGCTTTATCCGTAACAATATCCCTCAAGAGGTACTCCAAGGCTATTATACCAAATGACCTTGATATACAGATTAGTTTATTGGCACTCGACCTTCTATTGGCTGCTTCGTGATGTCGTATATTATAGAGTGACAATTATTGTGAAAATGAACGTTACGCGCAGCAAGAGCACGGCTGCTCCGCAATCTCCAGCGCAAACTATGTTAACCTTTCATTCATCTAGAACCAGTCACAGCGTTCGGTATAAGCCGGAAAGCAACTATGCAGGAATTGAGAAATTTAGGAACGCTACGATTGCGCGTCACTTGATAGACGGACTCAGTTAAAACATTGCCAGCTATCAAGGACTTACGCAATTTGACAACTCGCATCTCCCTGTCCTTCCTCATTTATTCCTCCTCCTCCTCCGCATAATGTGCCACTTAGACAATACTAATAGCTGATATGAGTTTTCAGCGAGAACACAGAGAACAAAAATATCTGAAGAAGTGTATTTGGTGGCAAATGCTTCCGCGAACGCGCTACAGTCCTGCCAAGCGTGGCCGATCTATGCCTTCCTGCTTACGGTGGCACCTCTGGTGGCCACTTTTGTCCCCATATGAAACTTTCGCGGGAGATTCGTGATCAGAACAAAAGAGAAATAAAGGACCATCATACGAGGTTTTGTAGAGGCTACCGCCACACGCGTTGCGGAGTGCATTTCTGTAGATAGCTTGCTAAAACTAAGGACTCGCTCTCTGGATTTCGTGCCAAACGGTTGTGCCCCCACGATCTCTGACGACAACGCAGCTCTGGCCGACTGGCTCGCCCTACGTCATCTCCTAACGCCGACAAGAGATCTCGCTGAGTGGTGCCCCATACTCGGACTTCTGCGACCGTGTCCATTTTTCCTATCTTCTGGGTGTCGCTGTCCCTGCGCCACGCTCTCTCCTTTCCCCCTCTCTATCTCTATAGCTTTAAACCTATCCTTTTGATTCCTTCTTACCCCCACCCTTCGTGAGCTACTGTTGAGGTGTCGCACTTTGATGTAGAGAGTTACGGGGCTCACTTTTATCTTTTTTTTCTCTTTAAGAATCACATAATAAAAACGAAGAATGAAATGCACAGTTTTACGTTTGTTGATGTCCTTCGCCATTGCTTTGTGGTCTACGAGAACAAAGTAAAGAAAAGATTATGAAACTCATATCTACATTTTATTTCTGTTTATGTTGTCGAAGTGTAAGCAGTACCCGCATTGAATCGATAAGTTCGTGAGATGGTCTGCGAGGTGCTACATTCCCCTTAAGAGGATTTCGTGACATCATGAAATGCTCTTGTGGAAAGTTAACATGGATTACAAATGCAGTGTTTGCTTGGAAAAGAATGTTGTCGGCTTTGTTATTCTGGTTTTTCGATCGTTACCGGGACAGTGACGAGCATTCAGTTTGCAGTGCATATATATATACATATATATATATATATATATATATATATATATATATATATATATATATATATATATATATAAATTCACTTTTTGTGTTTTCTCCTTCAATAGAGCCGATATTTACTTGTGATTTTTAAACATAAAATACCAAAGCATCTGTATAAGTTACAATGAGCGATTTCCCTCAATTTATGCCTCAATCATAGCTTACCAGTCTGGGTTTTGCAGATATGGTGTTTATTTTCGTAAGCATCGAAAGTGAACTATTGATGGAACACGCAAACAGTGCCATAGAAGCAGCTGAATAATTTATATAGGGTCAGGGAAAAAGCCATTTTCAAATACTTTTTAAAATTATTTTTGATTCTTTGTCAAGCGCATGCTCTTTCACGACTGAGTGTTAATGAAGCACAAATGAAGCTTTCACGAAATCACGAAAAGAAAATTTGCTTGATACCCCACCGCATTAAAGAGGCAAACAAAACTAGTGGTTCCGTGGAGTGATCGTTTAACAAAACTCTAAGCTGCTGCAAGCAGTGCACCACGAAGAGATATGTGCTATCGCACGCCTGTGTTATAAGCTTTAAAGCGCATGCATTTTTTTTTACCTTGCGTATTTCCGTGTGGCTTCGCATCGAAGGGATACTAAGGGTCAGTCGATTTTGACTGGCCTCACCATTAGACAACAACAACAAAAAAAACAAAATAAGAAGCAGTGGTTAGAAATGTGGGAAAAGAAAAAAGCAAGCCAAATGAGCTAACAGTGTCTGTACGTTTACGAAATGAATATGTGTATCACTTTGTATATCACTTCACCATGTTTTCTTTTACATATATCCAAAAATGAAAAGAAATCGAAAATAGGCATGGAAGCAGCCTTGCTCTAAGTACTTGTATGCATAGTAGACATGAGCATGTCCATTATTTTACAATAACAAGAATGACATACTGCAAAAACATCAGGCACGGCACACAATACAATTAAAACAAACAGTATAGTGACTTATACAGTATAAACAGTATAATAGAAACCACGCACGAAGAATGTTTCACGTGGCGCTTAGATTTGTTGCGTGAACGGATGCACTATGCGATTGGTAAGCGTATGGTATGCACTCACCAGTCTACCATATTTTTCCTGTCATGGCTGGTACCTGATTCCTCTGCTAATCAGTGCTTATGTAGATCTACATGTGTTGGCGACTGAAAGTAAAGCTTTTTAGGGGCCAAGCACCGAAATTCGTGGGTCTGTCCATCCCTTGTTTGTATGTACCACTGCCTGTAGTTCCACATTTGCCAACTGCCCACTACTTCATCCTTGCAAACATCCCACTACGCCCCATCAGCGATCCACCACGTCACAGACCATAAAGCAAATAATGTTGAGAAGTACCGAATATAAAATGCTAAATGTTCACGTACTGGTATCCCGGTGCGTGTTTATGAAACATAGATTGACCCACTGTTTACATCCCTTGTTTGTTCGTGACCGCCTATAGTTCCACCTGTGCAAACTGCCCACTACTTCGTCCTTGCAAACATCCCACTACGCCTCATCACCAACTCACCACTTCACTGACCATAAAGCCGTTATAATGAAGGGGAACGGAAGCGACATATAGCTACCAACGAACAATAAAGGAGGAGGAAGGATAGGGAGGGACAAAATTTTCTTCTATAAATATATACAGTGGTTTCCACGTCTTTGATGCTGTAGTGGGTGATATTCATGGATAGTTCATGGTTTAGTGATGAAACCCTCCAGCGCTTTGTCCCACTCATCATCATTCGCTCCGTGGACATGCTGTGATTTTTTTTTTATGGTACAAATTATTTGCGATCATTGACATGCTTGCTTCCACTCTTGCGGTCTTGGAAAGGTGGCATTCGAAAAGAACTTCAGCTATATTTAGTCGTTTTGTTTTCCGTATGCAGTTTCACTGAAAGTGTTTGGGACGTGGGAGAAAAGCTGCATGAAAGCACTCGACAATGTCTCTGGCGATGCGCACAAACATTTTTATTGTGGAATCATCGCTGTTTTCTCGTTGTTAACTTTACAAATGAGTCAAATGTGTTTTCTGGGAAGAACTTTTTTTATGGCAATCGTTTAAAAAACAGTCAGAAATTAATTGTCGCTTCACCTTGTCTACCAACACTAACACTGTGGTTGCTCATCCAACACACAGTTAAAAGAAGTACTCTATCCCTAATTGCATCACCTTGACTCATTTTGTTCAGCGTTGCCTACAGGAGCTCGTAATAGAGTAACATTTGCACGTTCATCAGTACCTTACTGTAAATTGCCTCAGAGGAAATATGTTGAAATATATAAAATCCTGTTATTAACCCACAAGCTGTTGGAAAATGCTCAAAATTTTAACAGCGCACTCATTTCAGCGAAAAGTTAGAGGCAACGCCAGCGTATTAGGTACATGTTCATATCATTTGATTGGACATTACGCCCCATGGAGTGCGACTGAACTGGGCATAATCTAAAAAATACTGATCCGAGCCAGTAGACACGTCGTAAAATTGTACAATAAATACCAGACGGAAACAAAGACAGACAAAAGATATCGGGTGGTGTTATTTATGTCTCTGTAGCAGTTACGCTTGTTTCTCATTGTTTCACTGTTTTATGTTCGTATGCCAGGCATGTCATTCTTTTTTATGATGGATATACATAGCTACCACGAGCATTTTGACTCCTGAAAGTCTACATGACTGGCGTCGAGTGAACAATGCCAGACACGCTGCTGCGTCTGTTTCATGCTAACTTGTCCACCCAAGTCGCTGAACTCTTTCCGTGAAAATTCTCTTCCTTGTTGACTGTAGTCGCACTTTTGAATGTGCGCAAATAGTACTAACGTCCTTCTCACCGCAGACACGAAGCCTTCGCCGCGTATCCGACTCGCATAGACGACACCAACGCTCTGCATTGCTGCTGGTGCAGAAACGAAAGAAGCAGTTTTTCTCGCTGGCTCGCACGTGCAGTTTTATGTGCACACAGTGAAGATGCGCACGGATGCGCTACCTGGTTGGCGAGCACCTCTCTGCCGAGCCGTGAGCGAGGAAAGCGTTAGGCAAGACAAATAAGCCCCCTCTCCCTCGTTTGAGTCAACGCACGGAAAGTGCAGCACGCACGACACCTGCTTTTGAAACGAAGCGTATTTACTGGGAAGTGAACGTTCGAGCCTCGGGACAAAGGCGTTGCAGTATTCTCTGCCAGACGCCTCAGTTGACAGCGAGGTTTTTCTTCGTCTTTTAATATTTCAGCTCTACTCCGAACTATTGCGTTTGTTTGCGTCGGAGGAAGTTGCAGTATCCTTGCTCCACGGTCCCAGACAAACAGTGTCGACCTTGCGCAGCCTGCCCATGCGTGGGCAGGCTGCAACCGAAATCCAGTGATGGATTTCGGTTGACACCGAATACGGAAATGACGGTCTCATGTTTGCAAATCTCTTCTGCCTTTTTTTTTGTTTTATCTCTTGAGGGTATAACGAAAGCAACGAACCAGCCGTTTAAGCTCAAAACAAACCTCATTCTTTAACAGATAGGAGCCGTTTGATAACAAGAATGCTGTAAAATATTCTTCCATCACAAAACAGTGCCTGTTGCTTCGTGCCTTGTTTCTTATAGCGGTCATTATATGTCATATTTCTATCCACACGAAAGTTGGAATATATATTTGTTAACCCATCCAAATGAAGTCCTTTACATTTTTACTTCAGAGCTTAGTAGCTCGACATCAGTAATATTGCACGTATTGTTAGTTTGAAGGAGGAAGTTGCTGATGGCATCCCACCGCTGCCACCAGTTGTTGCGAATGGGGGACTACCCGGTCTCTTGTGGTAGCGTGGTGTAACCGGGTGGAGGAAACAGACGCTGACAAGAAGAGGATACGAAAACAAACATGTTTATGGCACTATTTACGCTTATTTACAGCAAAGAAAGGTTAGTGGTTTTACAAACCACGAGCGTGGTCACTCTGAACCATGTAACGGTTCAACCACCACGCTCGTGGTTTGTAAAATCATTAACCTTTCTTTGCTGTAAATAAGTGTAAATAGTGCCATAAACCTGTTTGTTTTCGTATCCTCTTCTTGTCTGCGTTCGTTTCCTCAAACCGGTTACACCACGCTACCACAAGAGACCGGGTAGTCCCCCATTCGCAACAACTGGTGGCAGCGGTGGGATTCCATCAGCGAACATTCCTCCTTTGACCCTTAACAACTGGTGGCAGTGGTGGGATGCCGTCAGCGAACATTCCTCCTTCCGACCCTTAACAACTGGTGGCAGCGGTGGGATGCCATCAGCGAACATTCCTCCTTTGGCCCTTAACAGTATATAATTTTAATGCGATCACCACTGCGAGACTATTGACTCACCAATTTCAAAACTCTACTTGCCAATGTTTCCGACCAATGTACAAAGAAAAAATGCAGCTACAAAAAAAATGAAGTAATACCAGCCTAATTTGGCTCCGTACTTGAACAATGGGCACACCGTAAGGCACTATAAAGAGACTAAGACGCAAGTCTGGTTTCTTTGCAAGAACAAGTGGTGTTATGAATTATCCGCCTATAATTGCATTTTTGAATGTTTCTTTCTGCAACGTAGGCTTAGGTTACTCCCCGTCGCGATATCCACGTCTCAGTAAAATACAGAAACAAATAAAACATTAAAAGACTGGGCGCGAAGAAGAATCGGGTGATCAAGTCCTTCAAAATGATTTTTCAGCATGTTATCTGGGACGGCTGAGTGCAGTGTCTAGGATATGTTGCATCAGAATGCCTCTGACAGATTTTGAAAGTTACGCAGAAGCGAATAGGAGGACTATTTGCCATTTGAGGTTGCTATAGGCAAACAATGCCACTCAAACGAACCAAGCAGGCATGCTAATGTGAACACTTACTAATTGCATCATTTTGGCGAATTCAGTCATTGCTAAACTCTGATTTGCTCAAAGCACCACCGTGGCCCAAAGGGCCACTACGATCTATCTGACGACCAACCTGGCGGAATGTGACAGAGTCCATAATACATGAACAGAGGAAAATACTAGGAGGGAGTGTCACGTGGTTCTTCTAGCCTGGGAAAACTACCCTCCTATAACGCCCATCCTTCTGAATACGCGTGGTGCCACTTAGGCAGGACTAGGTCGCAGCAGCGCGTGCTGCAGACGCAGCCAAAGCTAACCACCCAATAATAGTGCTTGCGAGTAAAGTGTTCAGGACCAATTTCTTTCTTAAATTTTCTATGACTAGGCCTAGAGAGTGTCATCTGAAGCTGCCTTTCAGGTTTTCCTTTTTCTCGCTTCATTCGAGAATTGCGAACCATGGAGGCAATAAACAGCCTGCCGTGTAGCGTTCCCTATTCCTAAACAGAGTAGCAAGCAAGCGGTATATATACACCGGAAAATCTCTGTTTTTCTATTGAAGAGTATCTCTCTCTCTCGCTCGTGTCTTGCGTAGACCAACACCGACTAAATTTAGTCGGCGTTGCGTAGACTCACCGAAAGACAGCGTTCCCCAGCCGACGACGGTGGCCAGTTTGCCGATGAAGGACTCTTCGGGACTCTTGGGCAGGCAGATGGGCCTGATATTCTCCGTGAAACGCACTCGGCGACTCATGCGCAGCAGGGAGATGTCGTTCTGGTACGTGTCCTTGCGGAACTCTGGGTGCTGCCGAATGCGCGACACGTTGAAGTCTCGAGGCAGCCGGCTAGTCGTGTTCGTCTTGAAGTCGTACTCTCCCAAACGCACCGTAATGTTTTGCGGCCGAAGCCTGAAATAGAGCACGCACGCACACAAAAGCAATGAAATGCAAGCTCTGACAAAACGCACCACTCTTGCTATGCTCGGTTTGTAATATCTACGCTCTCTGCCTATATAAACTGCAGAATTCGAACTTAAAATATATCGGATAGGTACACAAACAGAATGGTGACAGGTGTTTTTATTGAACATTAAGCTTGTTTCTCATCACTTCAATCAGCGACTCCCTAAATGACCGAGGCAAATACATTATTTGCGTAGGAAAAACTGCTTACAGGGACACTAAAGGCAAATATTAGGTCGGCGTTCATTGTTGAAATGGCGGTCCAGAAACCTCGTAGTGCCATTTTCTACCAAGGGAGTGCTTATTATTAAATCAAATCGCGTTTCAGTGGCCCGCATTGGGTTAGCGCACATCAAGTTACCCGCCTCAACTAGAATGTATGATGTCACTATGCCTGTGCAGAACGTTGCCCGGCATTACTGCATGTCTGCCGACACTAGCCGCAACAAAAAGAAAGCAGCAGGAGCCACAGCAGCAACAACGGCCATTGAACAATTGCTTGCCGTTGGCTCCGAGACGGCACGCAGATGTGCTTGGTTCAAGTGGGCCCCGCTAGATGGCACGACTTGTCTAGTTCGGCCAGAAATAGGCATTTGTAGGCCTTATAATAACACTCTAAAAGTCCTTCTTAACTTCTATTTCATACTCATATATCAAAGTGGCACACTATGAACACAAGGAATAAAAGATTTATTTGCCTATAATGCGTTCTTTAGTATTATTATTAACCAGGCGGAACTTTTGAACCACTCGCGCCATTCCGCATAGTAACGTTCGGTGGTTGTTTTTTCCATATATCAACAGAAGAGAGCAAGCGGCTTCTTTAAAGTATCTTGATGCACAGAAGCTTCTTTATTTCGTGCAGTTAGATTGATTACTAGTAAATAATGGTAGGCTGCAACTCTGACGTTATAGGGATCACTTTGCGAATGTCTTACTGCAGGACATGTGTTCTCGTGCACTTAATTTCTCGGTCAGTAGGGCACTGCTGTTGATAATACTGTCATTTTAGACGTTGTCATAGGTTGAGCTTTCACTCTCACGTGAATTGTTATTCGACTTTAGTGTCCCTTTAAATGAGCTCTGCAACACTTTTTGAGCATGGTCAGAAACCAGTGCGGATCGGTAGTAGAGGCACCCCAGAACACGCGAGCCACATATTATAAAGCGGCACGTGGCCTGAACATCGTAATCGCTTATGAAAGTAAAATAAAAAAATGCTTTTTCTTCTTTCGAGAAATGACGGAGAAAGCTCAAAAACGACTCGCAGAAGGCCTTCTAACAACCATTGGCTGATTTGAGCAAGCAGCGCTCCGCCGTTACAGAAGTCGCCATAGCAAGCCAATACCTGTACACGCATGCACGCGCGATCACGCTGAAAAATTCACGTGTTCGCAGAAAAAAAAAGAAATAAAAGTACTCAGGGTCAAGAGGTGCGCGTGACGTATTTTCTTGGTCCGTGCCATTTCCCGCCCTTGCTTAGCTTCCAGCGCTTTCGTCAGGACGATAGAAGAGAGAATGCGATTGCAGCGTGCGACAAATATTTGTAACTGCTCTTGTACTGGATGAATTCTATAAAATTTTTTTCGGTGTTGAATTCGTAAGGCAATATGCTCTTTGAGTGAATCCCTTTCAAGGTTACTTCAAAATGCGTTTCAGGCCGCTAAAATTATGGGCCGCTAAAAGTGAATAGAGAGCTTTAGATTTGGGAACCCAAATATTTGCACTGGCGTTTGTTGCCATTGAACATGCCTCATACGCTAATATCTTTGGTACACACGTCACATATATATATATATATATATATATATATATATATATATATATATATATATATATATATATATATATATATATATATATATATATATATATATATATATATATATATATATATATACGCAAGATACCAAACTTCTACGTACGCACTTATAAAACCCTCAGTACAAGGCAGATGCCACCTGCACGTTCTTGCCTCTTCTAGGTCGTTGCCTTCAATTATAACATTACCGACCCCTGATTCCTCAAATATTTGCGTCTACCAAGTGTTTAAGAGGCTTGTTCGCATGTTTCCCATAAGAAGGCAGTGTTGCGACTGCATCTCTAACTTATTTGAGGTTTTGCATAATGTGTGCCGGTAATGCTTGTAACTAACTGACTGCTCCGGCTACGGTGCTTACGCTTAATTTGCCGAAATACGTTCTGTTGCACAGTGAGAGGAGGAGCAGTACTGCCAACAGTATGCTCAACGCCCGCGGCATATTTATTTACCAAATAACCTCGCTGGTACACTGTCTGCTCGAATCCCAGCCTCTTGAAGACAAAATTCTAAAAGATATCATTGAAAAATATTTTAACTGGAAGCTTATCAACAGTATGCAATGATGGCTGTTGACTATTTGGCGTAGTAATAGAAGGAGCTACGAGGCTTTGTCGTTTTGTTGCTGCCTGGATGGAGGAGCTATACAAACATTTATAATCAGCCATGCTTACGTCGCTCTTGCAACCACAATGTGCTCTACAAAACGAAGGAGTTCAAATGAATACATCTGTGCCTAAGCAGTGAGGTATAGCTAATGAGCACTATATGCAGTACTTTAGTTTTGCAGCATGAACTAAGGAGCAATATTAACTGTGATGGAATAATGAGTTCAGTGGACGAGAGCAAAGCGGCATGATTTGCGTTACTCCTCTAAACTAAACTAATTTATGTTTGTGCAAGACTTTAAAAAAGCAAATAGCACAAGAAATCTTCTTCGCCGGACGCTCTTTCAGTAAAATAAGTACTTTTTTTTATAAAAAAAGCTGCAAAGCACGAAACTTTTCTCAAAGATACGGTCAGCTCCTTCATATATATGTATAAAACTACGAAAACACAACAAAAAGCAGTAAACAAGTAAACATAGAAAATGTATAATATATTGGGCATGTTAGTCAAAGCTCTAAACTTGCAGATAGTTATAAAGCCTTACCCCTGAGTGCAATGGGCCGCTGTAATGACATATCGATCACTGATCAAAGCACCTCCACAGAATTGGTCATCATCCGCCTTCCGCAGGAGAGCAGCCTGCGAAATGAAAGAGATTTATAAAACGTCCGTTTTGAGAAATGAGCACAGTGCACCAAAAAGAGCATGGAAGGTTTCTGAACGAGCTACTCATTAATTCATATTGACCAAAATGTTGGAGCTAAAGCGAGTACGTTCAAACTGTTCTTTAGTGGCATCTATACAATTTCGTTTACGAGCGACACTAGTCGAACCGGACACATACGAAATTTAATCAAAACTAAAACGACGTTTACTCGGGTGTGGCGAGATCGTGATTATTGCTAGTTTACTACGGAAAAAACATAGGACTTAGAGAAGCAAATGGCATATGCACCACTTCCAGCTGTACTTACAGCAAAGTGACGTGGCCAGAAGAAAGCCAGGAAGTGGACTAAGAAAAAATAAACCAGCCTGACATTCAGCCGTAATTTAGCATACATTACTGGCAAGAGGAAGAGCTTGTCATTTACACGTTATTAGGAATAGTTACGTATGCGGTTTCCTGCACAAGCGATACTCCGAATGCGCGGCAGTTGCTAAGACATAGTGGCTGCGGTGATGGTGGATATGATAATGCTATTTACGCTACTTTAACCTGGCATATCTGCAGCTCGTTTTGATATAAATGACAGGATGAATGAAAAATAAAAATTATGGTCGGGCTATTATTTTCTGTAGTACCAACACCATTAATTTTCAGCATCGTGTCATCAATAAAGTGACATGTGTCTATTACGTAATTACAAAAGTCACGGACTTTCTTGGTGTATGCTTTAGAAGAAAAAACTGTGGATCACTACAAGACAAATCGAAATAACCTGCGTCAGTGAAGCTTTTGCATGAGGCTGCATTCGGTGTAATAGGTAGCACGCTTTAAATCACGAGCACTTGCGAGCGGGAAAGGTTTTCACACTTGCTATGCACTCATTGTGTAGAAAAAGTTTAATTATTATATCCACAAAAAACAAAAATTTCATAACATTCAATTATTAAGGGGCACATAGACATTGACACATCTACGTGCCACGAGAAATATGGCTATGTTGTAGTGAACAAATCATTAGTCAAAATTACATGGCAAACGTGGCATGCATGTACAAAAGAACAGAATGGGATGTCATGACACAATAAATACAATAGTAGAACGGCACAATAGATGCAATGAAACACGATTTGTTGCAAACAAAGCATGTACTTATACTTGACAGGCACTGTTTAGCACCACGTCAGTGGAAAGAGAAATTGTACCCTTTCGTGTTCAACATTGACAAAAGGGCACGACCGATTCCGCAAGAACTCGTGCTTCCCTAAGAACAAAAGCTGCTCAGAGAAGAATTTTATGATCTCTCGTCTTATTCGCCCCATTATCGGCCACAAGACATGCCGGCTGCCATTCCCAGCCACAGCTTTGCATCGCTTTCATCAAAGGCTGAACATTCCAGTGACTATTAAAAAAGCTGAGAAGCGCCCACGTGGAAGTCGGCCGCCGGACACGAATGTTCACACTCCCTGTTTACGAAAACCAGAATGAACCGCACGCCTGAAAAGGTGGGCGACCACACATTCAGTCGTCGCATGTCGATTGGTCTTAACCTTGACGCAATTGAGGCAAGTGTATGAGCATACCACCTGTCATTGTTGCAACCAATCCCGAGTGGGGAGCAAGCTTCAGCCCAACCGCCAAAGTCATGGATATGGCCTGGCAACACAGCTGCAGTTATTCGTTTTCGCGGGCGGTTCATTGTAGATTGACGATGCTGGGGCACCAAGGGCCGCAGAAGAGTGGTCATTGTGGCCACCACTTTAGATTCGTTGACCTAGGTGCGTAGCCTCCAAGCGTCGGTGAAATGCCAGAAGAGCTTTATACAAAGAAGGCCATTCAGTTGATTGGGGACCACGGGTAATTTGGCTATCCGACAAGACACGTAAAGGCCCCAGATGGTAGTAAGCTAATGTCTGAGCGGGTGTATTAGTATTTGCAATAAAATGCGGAGGCACAAGATGAAAGCCGTGACGGAAACAACGGGGAATGCAAAACCACCTTAATTTCATGGCTGAGCCAATGCCGGACGAGATAACAATTCTGTGTCACCAGAACAGGAAAATGAACTGACACAGCCTTGACCACTTTTGGAGACGAGGAGGGGGGGGGGGGGCTTTACAGCATGACAAGTATACCGAAATTTCCTGAGGTAAAACAATTGAAATACGAACCGACGTTCGAAGAGGGAGAAATCCAAGTGCATGGCTGCTTTTACATCGCTTTGAAGAGTTTGTACAACGGATGACCAGATGCTGTCATGTACACCAAATATAGTGAAAGTGACATCCAGTATGGTAATGTTATGAGGCCACTTTAAAGCCGACGTGATGCTGATACGACTGCTGGGGTTGCCAATGAAAAAAAAAAAAAAAAAACATTGGCTTTTTGAAAAGTTCAACTTTCCACAGGAGATATTGCCAAAATGTTGGGAAGTATTAAGCGCATGCTCCAGCGACTGTTCATTAGAGACTTACGGAGTCACTACGCGGTCTTAAGTGAATGCGCGCAGTAACACTTGTGCCTTTTGGAATAGAACACCAGCTTTAAACGACGAAGTCTATATCATAATCTCACGTTCTTACTCCCGACGACATGCTTTGGGCACAAATAACACACACACAAAGTAAAGGAACACTCAACAACAAGCACAAGCGGCTTGTGCTTGTCATGGAGTATTCGTTTACTTTGTGTGTGTGTGTTATTTGTGGCCAAAGTATGTCATTAAGTAAGTGTATAGGCCAACAATCAATTTTGTGACTCCCGATGGCAATGTACGCTTGTTAGACGCAATACTACTGCGATGTTAGATGTTATACTGTGAAGTCTGTACACAAGAGGCGCGCCTCTATAAAGAAGGAGACTTGTTTTCACTGCAATTCTAACCAGATGAAGCTAAGTCAACTGTACTTCCAAGAAGAGGCGTCAATGTGTGACGGAACACCTGCTTGCCACGCAAACACTCTGGTTCGATCTTCCCTCGGACCCGGAATTATTTTATTATTTATTTTTTTGCATCTCTCTCAATTTTTTCGTTGCGGACAAGATGATTTTTTCGCTCAAAACGAACGTAGTCCACGTCGCCACTGACGCCGAAATTTCTGCAAAACGAGCTATTTAACGCATTCGCGTAATATGGATACGCTTTTCGTTTTCATCTCATCTCAGACACATTCATAGGCGTGCGGACGCCAACTTCCCCCCTGGTCACTCAAGAAGAGGGGGTGCGAAGTCAGCGCCATACATTAACACGATTGAGAGAGGCCGCTTCGACACACTTTCTCTCCCCCTCTCCTGCCACCGAAGCGAACCTTGGCGCATGCCTACGGACCCATTCTTAAAGTGCTAATGAATAAATTAGCAAAGGTGATGCTTTTGCGTACGTAAAGCAAAAAAAAGCATGAATATGACGATGACTACCATAATGAAGATAATGAGGAAAAGAACAAGTGCTAATGACGCTTGAGCTTTTCGAGGCTGCACAATATCATAGTTAGCGTGAAGTTTTTTCGGTATTCTCACAATTTTGCAAGCTAAGAATTATGTCTTTCATGAGTATTAAGTTCTTTGAGTATTAAGTTCTTATAGCCAAAATATTTTGTATCGTGCTTGTAACACTTATAGAGAAAGCCGATCCTCACTGTTTCCTCTTCCTCGCTGAGGCGACTGCTCAGCATTCGTTACCCAAGGACGCCATAGGCAGCAGTGATGCTGGTCCAACCACAACGAGCATCAATCCTGAGTGTTATTTCGAAGCAATACTAACGAGACTAAAGTTTTCTTATTTGGCTACGTAATGATATTTACCAAATCAGTGGAGTGGAAATCGATAAAAGACAAGCCCCCATGCACAAATTGATATTAGATGCCATTGAGGAAGCCGCAGAAAAACATATTCAGAAGGTGAAAGAAATTGTGCAAGATAGATATTACTCACGATCATGTATATAGTGTGACCCGACACCGCCAGTGACTCGGTGCTACTTATGCTCACTGTTGTTTTGTTCAATTTCAAAATAGAAACCCAAATGAATCAGTAATACAATAATGAAAAAGAAAACTTCTCACCATCCATGTCCAGTCATCCGGCTTGGCGATAGTGCCTCCCACAATTCTCGTCTTGAAGTTCAAGCCGCAAGCTATAAACATTGCACAAAGAAAGTCACCACATCATGCACAAACAAAACACCTTTTGTGACAGACACGAAAGGAATTAGGTTAAGCAATAAAGTGTAACTATTTCGTTTTTTCAACTGACATTCGCTTCTTCATCGCTGCACATTCTTCAACGACTGCCTTCATTATTATTTGTTCGCACCTACACTCAAACTACCGGACACCGTAAATATGAGCGAATCAAGCGACTGCCAGCGAAGTCAGTGGCGACTGCAATGATTTGCTGCTACGATTTATTTTTATCTCTACAGCTTTCCGCAATTAAACGTGACGGGTTATATGAGCCCTTATAGTAGCACGTAAGAGCAGGGCTTGCATGTAAACGCCATAATTGAAATCTCACTCCCATGTTTATTGCTTCTGCCCTGATCGTATTCACTTAAACAAAGTTAATGAAAATGTCCAACTATGATGCATCCTTACATATTATAGAAATATGAACTAAAATAAAGCCCAGCAGTACGTGCCCAGTCGTCAAAACAGTCGGCTATCAATGCACGCCTTCTATAATCAAGAACTGTCACTCACATGTCGTTAACTGAGCCAGTCCAGGAGGCATTGGAGGAAGCGGCTTCTGCCGTTTACTAGTCTGCCCACCGCTAGGCTGTGGTTGAGACGGAGGCCTCTGCGGATGCGCAGACGCATCATGCGCTTCCGCCTCTTCCTCATCGTCGTCTGGAAACTGGATGGGTGCATTGACTGTTGGTGAGTTGCTAGGGGGAGGTCTCGGAGGCTGCCCGATGGGTGGCCGCGATGGTGTAGGTAGTGCCGGTGGAGGTTGCACAGGTGGAGGTTGCACTGGTGGAGGCTGCACTGGTGGGGGTTGCACTGGAGGAGGTCTTGTCACTGGACTAGGTTGTGGCTGTGGCTGCGGCTGTGGCTGTGGCTGAGGTTCCACCGGTGGCTGAGGCTGGGGCTGCACGGGCTGGTTTTGGGGAGGTACACCTCCATGCCCGTCCACTGGCTCGTTGGGCGTTAGCGGCTGATCGACATTGGGAAATTGGGGCCCACCGGGGCCATCCTCGTAGTCGGGATTTTGTACGGGCGGCGGACTAGGCGGTTTCTTGCCGATGTTAAGAATGCCACTCAGAATGGGAAACAAAGGTTTGCGTGGACTCAGGAAACTGCCGAAGAACTCATCGGGACAGCACACACCGAGGTGACGATTGCTGACTACACATGAGTAACTGAGAAACAGGTCAAAGTTTTCCAGAAACGCGGGAAGCACACATTCCCTGACGTATCGGCATTTCCCAGGCGTTGTGAGTGGCGTGGTGCATATTTGAAACTGTCTGAGAGCATTGATAGCCGGCCCGAAGAAGGAAGAGCGCCTTCTCGGGACGTTGAAGTTGTACTTCGACCTCTGAAGATTCTCCAGGAACTGGTTCACGACATTCTTGTCCTGGATAGGCGCTCCATGAGGATGCTCGGTGCCCTGAGGTGGTTGTTGCTGCCGCTTTGGCCTACCAGCATCGAGAACAGGCTTGAACAGTGATCCTAAAATACCTGGTGTAAAGAGAGCGAGAATGTGAAAGTGTGTTTAGAAAAAAAATTATTTTACGACTTAGAGTATTTCGTATTCAACTAAGGGAGATCATGGTCGTTCCAGGAGGCAAATGACAAACCCTGTATAAAAAGTGTCGTCATAAATACAGTGGGAATAGTTGGATAAGTTCATCAAAAAAGAGTTAATGCAAGGGAGTTCCATTATTACAATATGATGACATGTTCATGCGAGAACATAGCGATTCAAACGACCTTATTTATATGCGAAACTAACTTTTTGGCAAATATTCTATCAAAGTCATTTCATGTATTCACTTCTTTTATTTTACTGCGTTTTCATCAAAGCATCGTAACTTTCCTCTTGAACTATTCATTCAAAGAACTGTCAGGCACCAAGTATTTTGAGGCTATGGAACGTTGTGCGGGAGGCACTACGCTTCGATAAGGAGAAAAGCTTGGTTATATAAAGCGTGACGAGTACCTGATAATAAATGTCGCATACTGAGACAAGCAATACGTGCGATTTGCGTTTGCGCTGTACGTGACAACGCAGTAGCTGAGCAGCGGCGTGTAACATGCAAGCCGCAGAGCATTGACATTCTCCGGAGATTCCGTCGCCGTGCATGGATTCCCAATGCATTTCTCTGGCGTATGTGGAGTGCTTGTATGTGTGAGGTCGCCTACCCGCCTTATACGGGCGCGTCTTCTATAAGCATATGCGCCAGGTTTTTCCCTGCTACGAAGGCCACGTTGAAAACACAAGCATAGAGGCTACCAGTGAATCATGGCGCGCATTTCCGATGTTTGCCACCGTCCTGGCGCCAGGTAGAAGGGAGAAGCAGCTTTCGTCGAGAAGCTGCACGTCGATCAACTTGTATGGCTCTCCCTCTCTCTCCCTCCCTCTCCCTCCCACCTCTCTCCCTTTGTGTGTGTGTGTGTGTGTTTTCATGCGTAAGCTGTACAGGACGTGCTCCCCGTAGAAAAAACATTGTGACTATTCCCTACGACCTTAACGCTGAGCCACCAGTCCCGGAGATAATGCAGGGCTGGGATGGTGAGGAGATCGCAACGCACGTCCCATGACAGATCTGTTTCAGGGACAGCACGTCTGCCCACTGCAGCTGCCTACTGAATCATGCAGTTGGGGGAAAAACGACACACTCTATACGTTACTATAATATTCTATACAACAAGCAACAACTTATAACCACAAATATCTATTAGATATCCGTAGCATACTATGCATACTTATAATCAAAGTAACAGTATATGAGCAACTAAAAATTGGTGGTTTACAAGAATTTCAGATGTTGGCTGATTATGCCCAATTTTCGTTAGTGTTGAACAAATTGTGAGTAATGCTAGCTGGCGTTCGGTAAATAATGGTAAATACCGGCTATTCGTGGGTAAAATTAACTAGTATGGACTAAATCATGATTGATATCTGGGGTTTAATGTCCCTAAACCACCATATGATTATGACAGGCCGTAGTGAAGGGCTCAGCAAATTTCGACCACCTGGGGTTTTTTAACGTGCACCTAAATCTGAGCACGCGGGCCTACAACATTTCTGCCTCCATCGGAAATGCAGCCGCTGCAGCCGGGATTCGATCCCGTGACCTGCGGGGCAGCATCCGAGTACCTTAGCCACTAGACCACCGCTGCGGGGCGTTGAATGAAATATGGCTGATGTCATTTACCGTTGACCTAATACTCCCAGATGAAACGTAATTTAAGGAGGGTATGTACGAAAAGTATATATGTGGTTTGCCACTGAATGTGCAGCTGCGCGGATACAGCAAAAATGTAAGCAGGGATACGTGCAGTAGTAGCGAGGGACAAAGAAAGGGGTTGTATGGATGCCTTGAGCAGGGTAGTGAGAGAACTGGATGCTGTTTTCTTTTTTAGGGGCAAAGCTCTTTAAGACCTAGTCCTGTCTTTCGTTAAGGTCATGGTATAGAACCGTTGCTATAGTCGAAACAGTTGTGAGACACACACATATAGATGTTTTAAAATAGACCTAGACGTAGGCATAGGGTAGTTTCAAGGTAAGAGATCACTGTTCCCGGGGAAAATAATTCCTCAAGAAGAGCATTGATGAACTGATCTCTCCTAAAACGTGCCTAAATATTGAGACTTTTTAACGAAACCTTTAACACAAAGGCACACGTCGAACACTATATGTCCGAACAAATTATCCATAATAAAATAGTATCTTGATCACAGGTTCTTGGATTCACTTTCGAGGCATATCCACTCCAGCAATTTTATAAATCCGCATTGAATTGCCTAAGACGATAAGAAGGTGAAATAAATTAACATTGCTATGTACACTTTATGTCACTTGTTTACATTATTCGGGGCAACGCTCGGGTGACGTACGGTCGCTCACATATATGGGATATCCACAGCTTAGCTCATTCGCCATGATTCACATCGTAGAGATGCGGAGATTTTTTTTTATTATTTGTGTGGCCCCCTTTATGCCCCACCTACGTATTTGCAATCGGTAGACACCACCTCGTGGGCGCCACCCGACCCGGAGATTTCCACCTTCAGAAGCGGCACTTCATACGTGAGTGCAATGAAGTTTGGGTTTGTCCCCGCGTTTTTCTTGCCGTACGGCAAGAAAAAGAGGTGATAAACCTAAACTTAGCGTACCGAAACCTTAGTGTTCCGAAAGGTAGCAAGTGACTGTGCATGTATAAGATTGTCCTTTCAAATTACCATATACAGCATTGCGTATACTAAAAGTACATTTCTTAGTGGACACTACGCCGTGATTCTTTCTCTTGCGAATCAGCTATATAAGGGCTCACTCGTTGCGCAATTCCCATGTTGTGACGTCTGGCGTGGTTATACGCTTCCGACACATAATATTACATTCAAGGTTACTGCTTCCACAACATGACCTTCACATAGTGCTTTTGTTTTCCGAACACATTCAAGCATTAAGCATGACTTTGTGGTAGAACACCTGTTGGCAACGCACGCTACCTGGGTTCGATTCTAAACTGTAGATTTTTTATTGTTTCATTTGCAGCTTTCTCGTTTCTTTTGGTAGCGGAAGAAACAACAACGTTTCTCTCACAACCGACGACGCTGACTCCGACGCTGTGGCCGACAATGGAATTTTCGCGAAACAAGATCTGCAAGGACATCACGTTAATATCCACTATTTTCAACAATCAGAACGCAGCAGGGTCGTTTGTGTTTTCTGGATGTATTGGCTGAAATTATTCAAAAATGGTCTTTCTCGGGAACGAATATTCGTGCTACCAGTCCATTGCGAAACCAAGGAGGTTAAGCCTTAATGGCTGAGCCGTAATGATCTTCCTTTTGCAAGATGCCGCAGCGTACCATTAGTGCATTTGCTCAACGCGCAAAGCTGAGTTTCAGTAAACGTAACATCGCTTTATTCGAGCCTCTATCATAAGCAGTTGACTGCATGGTATAGACGTCTGCGTGTATCTTCCTCGCTTACCTTGCCTCTTGGACCGCACGAGAATGGTCGAGTTGTCTCCAGTGACCGTTGCTGTGCTCGCAAGGGAGATCACTACCACTGCGCCCAGTAGCCCAGTGCGCATGCTCGTTGCTCTGGTACCTGCACATTGGGAATAGGGAACGTGTGATTGATGAGGCACATTGACTTCACCAAACAAAGCGCCTTGATTCTGTGTGGCACGCTGGGCGCTGCGTGGCAGCCTTCGAGGAAACGTACGTATGCTAATTTGGTTATTCGTTTTTTTCACTTACTTTCACACCTAGCTTTCGCCACCAGTGTTTCCATGTACGAAATGTGTGCGTCTTTCCTTCTATTGCTGCTCTCATTTCACAGTGTCGGCGCTTCGTGTATGATAGTCACACAATACAGCTGAACACTTCGCAGTGTATCTGTGGTGATTTATTGTTCGTTGTGCCTGGAATCATTGCCTTTACTTGAACAGGGAGCGCTATGGTACAAATAGTCGCCGTTGTATCCTAAATTTCCATTTGGAAAATTTCTCCTCGCCCCGCAAGCTACGCAGATTAAGCGTGAATGATCATGACACCCTTTGATTTCTGAACATCCAGAAAGACGCATATTGTATCACTGCACCGTGATGCTTTCACAGTTCACTCACTCACTCACTCACTCACTCACTCACTCACTCACTCACTCACTTTGTGTCTCTCCTTTCTAGGACAGTGCTCTTTTTTTCAATTGATTTATATATGTGGGGTTTAACGTCTTAAAACCACCATATGATTATGAGAGACGCCGTAGTGGAAGACTCCGGTAATTTCTACCACCGGGGGTTCTTTGACGTGCACCCGAATCCGAGCACACGGGCCCACAGCATTTTCGCTTCCATCGAAAATACAGCCAGCGCTGCCAGGATTCGATCCCCCGACCTGCGGGTCAGCAGCCGAGTACCTTAGCCACTAGACTACCACGGCGGGGTATCTTTTGTCCAAGCCTGCGGCAGCCAATCAAATGCTATCATCGGCAAATTCATCCAATTCCATCCTACACCACCCTGCCGTGGTGGTCTAGTGGCTAAGGTACTCGGCTGCTGACCCGCAGGTCGCGGGATCGAATCCCGGCTGCGACGGCTGCATTTGCGATGGAAGCGAAAATGCTGTAGGCCCGTGTGCTCAGATTTGGGTGCATGGTAAAGAACCCCAGGGGGGTAGAAGTTACCGGAGTCCTCCACTACGGCGTCTCTCATGATCATATGTTGGTTTTGGGACGTTAAATCCCACATATCATCATCATCCATCCTACATTTTTCTCTCTGTTTTGAAGCGAAGTCTCATTTTGCACATTTTGCATTGTTTGCTGTATTTTTTGGTTTTTGTAGGCCGTTTTCTTTCCTACTAAGTAAAGATCACGCACGCCGCTGCAACTCGCGTCTGCATAGCGCGGCGTAAAAAAGGAACCTACTCGCGAGCTGGTTTTCAAGGTGAAATCCTATGTGTTATTCTCAGCTTCTCCTTGGCCTACGGCCACCAGCGCGTCACGGCACAGGATAACAATCAACGCGCTCTCAAGGACTGTTCTCCTGCTGCCGCGTGTGTTCTTCGGTTGTTACGGCTGTGTTTAACGTATAAGCGAAGTTGCCGCCTCGTTTGCATACAACAGTGTAGTGTTTACAGGCAGCCCGTTTTGCGGCCGCTAAGGACGTTTGTTATGGTGGAGTCATGGAAGAGTGACAAAAGGCCGTTAACGACTGGAATGTCCGCATGGATTACAGGAAAATAGTTTTAACCTTTTAGATACTTGCATCATGTCGTCATGGAACAATGTCTGCTGACACTGTTGGTTGTAGCGCACTTGGCATCTTATTCACATACATGGGCATCGCCGATTGACTCTGTTGCTTGGAGATCACCCATGTACTTGATTATATGGGTCAGCCAGTTGAGGGCATAACAAATGAGAAAGTTGATGTGATGTTGGAACTGTTACAGTGGTTTCTTAAGTATTTTCTTATTGTATACGTACACGAAAGCTTTTCTTTGGCTTGGGTTTTATGTCGGAGGTAAAGCACTGCCGAAGATGCAATTTGGTTCTGCCAAGTTGCGCTATAAAGACTCAAGCTATGCGAGGGGTCTGACTGTGTTAATTTACCGGATTCGCTACAATTGAAGCGGTTTCAACAAAGTTTTACACGTCCTTTCCGTAGTTGAGGCGCTGTGTATGCATCAACAACGTCGACAACGGATTACAACTAGTTGTTGCGTCACTATGCATGCTGCTGCGACACTGCCTTCGCAGAGGTTGAAGGCCGACTGATACGGTGGAAAAGGACGTACTCCTTTAGATTGCGGACTACCCTGTCTCCTTCGAGATTACCCTCTCCTACTCCGCGGCTGCAAGTGGCTGCTGCGGCAGCTGTTGGTGCTGGCGTAAGTTCCTGTGGTATGGGTGGCATATGCTTTACGGAAACGAATTTGGCGGATGCCAGCTGGCAACCTGCCCAAATAGTGATTTCGCATTGATAGTCTGCGCGTGTTATTTTGCTAACGGAAAGGGGACTGCAAAAAAGAAAAAGAGAGACAGAGAGAGAAAGACAAAGCAGCCATGCTTCTTCGCGAAGGCAGAGATGCTAACGCTATACATCTATAAGCATAATGCAAATTTCAAGTTCTTTAGATGAACTTCACAGTCGCTGTTTATTGAGAAAACCAATACCCAGATACTGGCCCTAGCATTCCTGAGTGCTAACAGCATTAGGCGGGCGTTCTGGCACGTTTTGCAGGCAAGTGGATTTCAGGACAAACATTAAGGTGTCATGTGCGACACATTCATTCATATCCCGTACAGTTCTTCTCTCTCTCTCTCTCTCTCTCTCTCTGTGTGTGTGTGTGTGTGTGTGCATGTGTGTGTGTGTGTGTGTGTGTCGCCTTCTATAATGTCTTTTATTCATTTACTTCCTTTTCCCAGCGTATGGTAGCCGCCAGTTCACTCTACTGAACATGGCATCACTGTCTATCTATGTAGTACTTCACCTCCTCCGTACTCATTGACTGAACGTTATTACTCTAGAATTCTTGAAAGAGGCAAAGGATCCCTGCAAAAGACGAGGAAAGGACGTAACATAACCATAACAGATATTCTCGGATTTAGACACAGTAGTTCTGCCAGAATGAGTTATCTAAGCGGCAATGTCAGCACAATTTTCGCTAGGCATTAAGCGTACTTGTCGCTTGTCATGATGGTGACATTTTTTTTTATTTCACTTACCAATCTCAGCTCAAGTGTCTTGGCTCAGTCACATGAGGCCACACAAAAAATTTAATTACTAACAACGCTGGTAGGACTCATAAGTGCCAAGCATGCTTCGATAGTCGTTTGTCAGAGGCTGCCAGGAATATAGTTAAAGATCCACTAAGAAGAACAGTTAGAAAACAAATGAACATTAATAACGAAAGGAGGTGGGTTGTATGTGGTTTTGATTGCCATAATCTATTTGCAAGTCAAGTAAAATGAGCCAGCTGCAAAATAATGCTGTGAGAAACATTTGACGTCGTAGAGAAATCCATAAAATCTGACACAGACAGCGGGGTCTCACTTACTCGTGAGGGTGCTGGGTGGGAACGCGAAGAGAGACCTACTTGTTATTCACTACAGCTACAGTTGAAGCCAGAGTTCACGAATGGCTATTACACGGAAATTAGCATTCAGAAACAAGAAACATTCAAACGAACCATTGAGTGGGCTTTCTTTATTTTGATACCTACAGGCAGGCAAGTTTTCGAGAAGACAAAGGCAGCTTTCCAGCGAGAAATGCATGCTGGAGCACGAAGTATAAAAAAAATATCAAAATTGCTTGTAAGTTGCGTTTTTAACGGTGCCGAGCTACATTGATTCTATCATGCTCGGCAGTGCTCGTTTGACTGGCGTCTCAGGTAATCTAACACGCAGTTTTAAGGCTCAAGAGTGCATTGAGCTTTTCAACCTAAAGTGGAGATCCCACTCCGGTGGTACCCGCTCCACATTTTAGTCATTCTTTGATGACGCGCTACGCTTACTGTGCTCATCTAACATTACATTATAAATCTTACTTCGTTCACTTTCTAATGACAGCTAGTATTGTAGCCTGGCTGGCAGCCGTATACACAGCACTAAAAACAGTATGAACAAGAAATAGCGTTTTTTCTGTACAAGCCCTCGTTGTCAGTGCGGCAAAGATGTTCATCACCAAATAAAATTTGCCGAGGCTCCTAATGAACCGTTATGCAAGATTTCTGTGAAGAGATATTGCAGTAGAGCAATTTTAAAGTGATGTAGGCGCTAATAAAAGTGAGCAATACAATGTAAGTTTGTGAGTAAATTACTTTTTTGTTTTCTTTAGAAGAAGAGTAAAAAATTAGTTTGAATGTTACAACGTATACGTGATGTCTACGCGAAGTTGTTTTGCGTTCTAATGAATACTTCATGAATTATTAGTGCTGGAATTCGGCCATTGTTGGTTGCACTTCTTCAGGCATTACCGACGAAGGAAAAAATCTATCAAAGCTGAAGTTCTGAAATCTTCAATATTGAAGCAGCAAGTTTTTCTCTAAGTTTCTATAAAAAGAAAATTGTTGTAAGTTAATTGGAGCTTCTAACAGCGAATATCGATAATCGTTTCAAAATAGAAGGAAAATCAAACAATGCTAGAAAAAAGTCAGCAAGCTCAGTACTGTGCCTTCTTTGCACCACTTTGCATATAGGTTTCCGCAGTGTGTGGACAATAACAGCGCTTGGAAACCATCAACGCTGCAAGTAAATTATGTGAGGCCCTGCCTTGACACAGGCAAACATACTCGTCAAAACATTAGCTCAAGCGACGCCTCCTCTTCAAGGATTTTTCATCCTTTAAAACTATGACATGTGTATTTCTTGGAACCCTTTCTTTTCGCAAGGTATAGAAGCCTTAACCGTCGAAGGGTGCAGATTTGTCTACTACTTTCCAAAGCATGCTGCACAGATTCCTGATTGTACTAACACGCGAGGAGTGAAGTCAGAATCTGACGGAATCCCTTTGAAAGCTTATTTAATATATGTGAACATATTTTAAGGTTCGATCATTTGCTACGTCTGCCCCGGTGATCAGTAGCTAGGCTGCTCGGCTGCTGGTCATTGTTTCGATACCGGCCGTGGTGGTAACATTTTGGTGGAGGCTAAATCGTAACGATCTGCGTACTGTGCGATTCCAGTACAAATTAAATAACACCAGGTCGTCGATATTTCCGAATACCTCCACTACGGCGCGTGTCATATCCACGTTATGATTTACGGACGTAAAACCTCAGATATATTCAGCTTCAGCAACAAGGTAATCGAGTAATATACTCTAATATTAGCTGTGCTTGTAGAAGTTTCACTTTTATGCCGCAATGACAGTTCCAAGTTTATAAGGTCCTTTATCTTGCATTGCAGAGGGGAAATTAAATCGCAAAAGAAGGTGCTATTTTGATTTTCCCTGAAGAGTTTCAGAGAATTTTGGATAGTTATGACTCATTCACCTCTGTACAGTGCCTTAGTCGCCACATCTGCGGACCACTTTGCGAAAACAACCAGCGATGTACCCGGTGTAAGGAGAATAAAATGCGGCCATAGGTTAAAGACTTTCAGAGCTACTTGTTAAATCCACTCACGCGCCTAAGTTCGTGTCCTTGTAAACAAACCTGGTTACCGCGAAGGCCGCTGACGCTATTGGAATTTCTGTGCAAGCCGTACTTATCTATTCTTCGGGTTTCTAGATGTTGCAGAAAACAATTTCAGTCTTTAGCAACATCTTTAACCATTAAACACTTGAAGGATGAAAGAAAGCATGAATCGTATTCAAGAGAGTTCACTGGCGAGAATGAAATTTAAACTGGAAGTACTACATGACGCATGCAGTCTTAAAAATGTGTTCCAACGGCTAGAGTAACTCAATTTTATTTTACGTGTTACCTGCTAAAGTTTGTAATTTTAGAACGTCATAAAGGGACTATGCACACAATGACGTGAAAAATGACGAAACTGGACGTTCGCCGGTATAAATGAAGTTCACCATTTGTTGGTAATTTTTTCGGCACACAGCGCTAATTTAGAGCCTCGCGAGGTATTCGGTAATAGTGGAGAACTGAACGTATCATATAGGAATCAAGAATTTTGTCTAGATCACTGAGAACTAGAGATAAAACTCGTGCGAGGTGGCAGGAAGATATACCCGTCTATTTCAGAGGCACAGTGCTTTTGGTGCCCACGGCTGGTGATGCGAAAGTAACGGCTTCGGTCCCGGCCGTTTGTGTAGTATTTTGATGTAGGTGAAATGCTAGAGGTCTGACTACTGCGAGATGTTATCTTCATCGTTATTATCAATAGCATTTTAACTATACGCCCACTGCAGGGAGAAGACCTGCAGTGGGGCGTGTTCTACCAATCATGTTCCACCAATCAAACCGGTCCTGTTCCTTCCTGCTGCCACGCTATACCTGCAAACTTCTCGATTTCTCTTGCCCCACTAATTATCTGTCTCCCGTTCAAGCGTTTTAAATGTTAGTTTACGGTAAAGAACACCAGATTATCAGATTTCCTAAGCCCTCCATGTGCCTCATATTCATATCATGATTTTTCCATATAAAACTTCAGATAACATTACTGTTATCAGGTGTACTTTCATTTCTGTGTTTGATAGCCTAAGTTCTCTTTTTCTGCCTTGTTTTCCTCAGATACCAACTCTGAAATGCTTACTCAGTGAAACGAAACATCTAACTACTGGTGTTCCTTTTATAACAACCAGAGCAACGTTGGGTAGAATTACTCGAAACATCAGCCGAAAATCACTTCCATCACACTATTGCGAGTTTACTCACATCAAGAGCATCCTGGAACTTTTTCGCAGCACGCGTCAAACGTGCTGGTGTACGTGAATTCTGATGGCCACTTGTCTTCTGTTTTTTGCTTCTATGAAACAAAGCTTGCAGTACTCCTGTGCAGGATAGTCTATCCTTCAAGATATTACAGCTTCCACATGTTCGAAGCGAGGGAAACTAACAGGAGGTGTGTTCCAGCGAAGCAACGGGAGGCTTGTACGTTCACGTTTTCCTTCGAGTGGGTTGTGTAGAGGCACTTCGCAACAGCTTCCTCGTAAAACCCGGCACTAATATCACGCTATAGATACTCCATTGATTGTTCTCCCATACTCGTGGCAAACTTTGCACCTTCAGACCCGTCTGACATTAGCCCCACATTTATAGAACAGAGAGATGACAGTCCTAGAGTGAGAAAAAAAGCAAAAGAAAAGATTGGAGGTTAACCAGGCTGAACTCAGTTTGCTGCCCTACAAGAGGAAAAAGGTAAAGGGGAGAAAAATAATATATAAAGAAAGAGAGGTAAAGTATGCCGAGCATCGTTTAACGCGCATGCCCAGAAAGACATGAAACTGTGAACTGTTACCCAGTACGGGTTGATTTCAACTGTCTTAGATGAAGAACACTGCAATCCATGACGTTAAACAAGGCTTGGAAGGATTGGCTCCAAGATATCCAGAATTTGCAGTGTGCTTCGAGCTGAGTAAGGTGTGTGCGCATTGTGCTTGCCAACGACCTCATTGACTGATATGCGGGGTTTAACGTCCCAAAGCCACCGTATGATTATGATAGACGCCGTAGTGGAGCGCTCCGGAAATTTCGACCACCTGAGGTTCTTAGGCGTGCACCCAAATCTGAGCACAAGGGCCTACAGCATTTTCGCCTCCATCGAAAATGAAGCCACCGGAGCCGGGTATCGATCCCGCGACCTGCGGGTCAGCAACCGAGTGCCTTAGGCTTGCCAACAACCTCCACACAAAGATGACGAAGCCCCCAAGTGTGATGGACAGAAATGTTATCCGGAAGTGTTCAATGTTCGCCGAAAAAAGTAAGCTTCATCCCAAACGTAACATCTTGACAGTTTCCCGGGTCAAAATATTTGGTCACGGATAAGCCATCTGTTTATCAAACACTACCGATAATTTTATGTGTTCATCTTCCTGTGCATCAATAAACCAGACAGATGCATTCACATGGGCTATAGATACAAGAAAGGGTCAGAGCAAATGGAAATCAGTGATTTCTGTGACTATATAAGGAATGCCGAGGACGGTTCATGGGAGTCAGTCAGAACGTACATTTTTATGCCGAATGGACAAGCAAATTTTATGAGAAAAAGCTAAGAAGTGGCCAACCATAGTGAAAATAAAAGGTTAAACGTTACGATAAGGACAATGCAGGTGATCATAAAAACGGCGAAGAATACAGTCACGGAGGAGGAAGTACAAGAGCGCACGCTTTTCAATAACACTTGGGTCACACCGCATATACAGGCTGTCACTCACCTCTTCTCGGGAAAGTTAATCCTGCAGAATCACCGCTCTTCTTCACACCTTGTACATAAGCGAAGGTGTGCGACGCCTCGCGTCGGTTCAATTCGTCCACTCTGACTTCGAGACTCTTTAACGCGCGCGTGTGTGCGCCCTCTGGCACGGGGCGTTAAAAAATCGCGCGTACAGCGCTAGCGACCGGCGTTTTCCCCCCGGTGGGAGTTGCGAAATGTTGTCTAGCGATTTCTCGACGTCGACGTCGCCCTAGTCGTCGTCATCGTCAAGGGGGCAGCTTCTGCGAAGTCGCGACTCCTCCTCAGCCGGAAAAGAAAGGGTGAAAAAGCCCCGGCGGCTTCGCGAGGTGGCAGATTAACTCGCAAAACACGCGCTCACTTTTCCCATGGCGTAACGCGGTCTGCCTGACGATGCCACAGGGGGCGGACCGTCGGCGTTTTTTTTTTTTTGTATTTAGGAGCTTGCTCGGCAAGCTTTCTTGCTTTCCTGCCTCACCAAGACTACTCATTTCTTTCTGTGCCACGGCCATGCACCGACTTTCACTTGTTTACTCTTTGTTTGTTTCTTTTTTTCTCTCCGACGCCAAGGTGGCTCGGCTGCTACGTTGACGCATCTGTGCCCTTCGATACACCACTGCCATCGCGTGCGCGCGTTACCGGCCAGGGGTATATCATGGCGGCATTTCTGACGTCACGGAACTCGCTTACCACTTTACTGCACGCGCGGCAACACTGCGGCGGGGGCCACGATGGAGAATGCTTGTGTATACAGCCAACTGGCCGGCCCAGCGTTCGGGGTCACGATTTTGATTCCCGCCGCGTAACGGGTTATCCCCATCCGGACTGGTTTACAATCACGGTGAACACAGCGCTGCGAACGTGCCAATTATTTATTGCAGGCGTACGAAAGATAACGTATGAACACTGATAACGCCGTATAAATCTCTTGGCATTTTGACATACTTGAGCTTGTGTGGGCATTTGGGCTTTTTCTACAATTCTCGTTTGAGCTTTTTTGAGAGTTTCTGTCACTCTTCCTCGAGGTATGACGTATTTTTTTTTTCGACGTCACCAGATGACCGAATTCCTCGTGCTTGCCATCACTTCCGTAAATTACAAGGTACCGCGCAGAAAACAAAGTATGGCACCTCAACCGGTTGCTTGTTTATCGCTCAGGACGTTACCTTTATCAATTGGCCTGCACAACTAGCCTTAGCAATACGATTGATTGATTTATTGATTGATTTGTGGGGTTTAACGTCCCAAAACCACTATTTGATTATGAGAGACGCCGTAGTGGAGGGCTCCGGAAATTTTGACCACCTGGGGTTCTTTTACGTGCACCCAAATCTGAGTACACGGGCCTACAACATTTTCGCCTCCATCGGAAATGCAGACGCCACAGCCGGGATTTGATTCCGTGACCTGCGGGTCAGCAGCCGAGTACCTTAGCCACTAGACCACCGTGGCGGGGCAGCTTTAGCAACACGTTAAAGCAGCTAGCCATTGCATAGTTTTTTAAAAAAAAAAGCATTTATAAGGCGTAACACCATCAAAAGAAAATAGGTCAACTGCGCCTTAAAGCTCTAGTTCTCAGATATTCGTAAAATATGCCCATTTGCCTGAGACAGAAATATATACGCCAAGGACCAATGCACTTGAAGCAACTCAGCGTTATAACCATGTTATGCTCCTCTGCAGCCACATAACACTGGTTAACAAAACCGTACAGTTCCAATCTTATATATTTACTCAACTGGTATGTACTTTCATCTAGATGTCAGGGTAACAATGCGTGTGCTTGGCCAGGATAGCTCATAGGTCGCAACCTCCACCATCAATCGCCGCGGCGGTCGCATTTCAATAGGAGCGAAATGTTGGAGGCACCTTTACGGTGTCATGTCAGTGCACGTTCAGAAATACTAGATAGTTGAAATTTCCGCAGCACTCTCTACGACGTCCTTCTGAATCACATATACGAGGTTTCAGACGTTATACCCCTGATATTTTTAATAGCTTTCGCTCTAAAGGAGCACAGGGAAACAGTGGAAAGGCAGAAGGTTGTGAGGTTAACCAGAAACCGATTTTCTACCACAGGCTTTGGGAAGAGGAGAGAGAAGTAAAAGTATAAAAGAGAGAAAAAAGGAAGGAAGAAGGGAAAGGTGTGTTGCATATGCGCGGTCGTGCGAGACTGTAGCACCATCCCCGTCGCTCGTCGGGCAATGGTGGTTATTCTTCTTCAATTGTGTTTTTTTTTCTTCAGCATCTTGTGTAACGTTGCCCGTAATTTTAAGTGCAGCACACAGATTTTTGTCAAGGCAACTTCCAGCTAAATCGAACAATGAAGTTCACGTCTACCAACGTTTAAGCTCCTAGTTTATAAACTCTTTATAATTTCAGAATCTTCTGTCAAAATTCTAAAACTGTGCCGCACCAACTTCACTTCATTATGTGTGCACAAAAAGTTCGCGTATTTCCTTTGTCAAGCTCGCTCGTTCAGCCGAACGCATATAGTAAGTCGTCTGGACGCGCCCGCGTTGCATCTCGCATTGGCAGAGTGATGATGGTATTTCTGCAATGTTCGGGCACATGCGGTGTCCAACAGCTGCGATCTATCCTCTGTATCTGCGTCTCTATTTTTTCACGCTTGAGTTCGCGCCGCCGAACAAGGGGAGTTTGCGCAAGAATGCGTCGTCCCCATTTCCGTGGTCGTTCTTTTTTTTTTTTTTCATCTTTATGAAACCCTGACCAAATCCATTTCAGGTGGCCCTACAGAAAAGTCCAGGTGAGCAAGGGGTCGTAGTGGCGTTGCACGAATTTTGTCTTTACTTGTAATATTATAATCCCAGGTATATACTCTTTATTATTACCATGGCATGCGCTGTCGAGCGCACATTAAAAGGTTCAAGATAAAAAATAACTATGCACTCGCGTGCACTGTGCTGCTGCGTGGAAGACCGGTTTCCGAAAGTATGCCACTCCTGGCTGCTATATGTGTCAAGTCGTGTTTTATGTATTTATGTATTTATTTATGTTTATTGTAAAACATTCCAGTCAAATTTAGGACCTCTGCAGGAGAGTTGGGTACAGAAGTACAACAGTACTGAATTACAACAATATCACAACATGTTCCTTACGGTGCAAGTATCATCACCTCTTAAACACAGCCGGCTATAGAATGAGAGCGAAAATATTAACGCCACTCATATGACTATAAAACCTGATATATTCATTTTACGAACGGAACCAGGTGAATTGTTCCAGTAAACAATTGCCCTAGCAAAAAAAAAAAGAGCTGTCTTTGGAGATGTAAGTACGTGTAAAAAATGGCTTACTGTTAAGATTGTTACCGATTCTCATTGGAAGAGCACTAGCACACACGACGTAATTGTCATTAGATTACCAGCGTAATGAATGAACGAAGGAGCGCAATAGGTTCGATGAGTCGATATCACACCTAGTACACAATGGGGATAACTTTAAAAGTTTCATTGCAGATTACGTAGCAAAATCATAGTCATAGCGATGAGAAATGAAACGAACAGATTTCTTTGCACAGAAGCAACTTTATCTACATCACACACTTCATATAGATTCTATGCGCAAGAAGCGTTCTCTATTATGGGATGAATCAATGTTTTGTACATTACAATTTGGTGGATTTTGGAGATGTAGCTGACGTACGTCTCAAGTAACCTATATTTTTAAAGCTTTAGATGTAAGGTAGTCTATGTGGTGCGGCCCTTGCATGTTCTGTTTGAACATAACGCCAAGATATTTGTATGGCTGGCCCCGTGGAACGGCGATATTGAAGTGGTATCTATGATGGAAGTATGGCGGTTAGTGAATGACAAAACTATGTTTTTACGTTTATGTGCATCTGCCAATTCAAGCACCACTAAAAAAATTCGAGAAAAAATCTTGAAGTATCATATGATCATTAGGAGTAGTAATTACCAGATAAGGT